ACTTCCCACTATACATCAAAAGTGAGTCCTATACAAAAGTACAACTAAATGCTCAAAGTGAGGAATGCTCATAGTCATCATCCATGACCATGCCCTCATCGTCATCTCTGATAAAGTCCTCAGTTGGAGGAGGTCTAACTGGTGGAGGAGCTGGTATCCCCTCCTAGGGCTGCTGGGCCATGCCTAATGGCTCTATGGGTGGATCAAGCATAGCCCCAAGCATAGCCCCTATCTTAAGTACTAACTCTACTATCTGATGATAATCTGGAATAAACTGGTAGAGATCTACTACATCTCCAATCTATCTGAGGATTCCTCTAAGGAACAAGAAGTATAGATCTTCCGCGTTAAGATGGAACGGACAGCTCGAAACCAACTCATGTAGAAAACGGTGATGATACGATACCATTGGCTCACCGGCCTGCGCACTCTATGCTAAAACCTGCCTAAGAAAAATCTGATACAACTCATGTACCTCAAGCACTAGCTTAGGCGCTGGAGGTGTCGGGGCTGCAGCTACCCACTACTGGAGATGATGCTGAAATTGCCCTTATTCCATTTGTCTGGAATCAACTTCCAGGCTGCACCACTAGGCCCTAGCCCCTCATATTAATTGTATAGTGGCTAACGTAGTCTAATACTTCCTATGTATTAAACAGGCCTAAAAAATTGTCTATATCCGCATTAACCAATCTTGTGTCCAAAAAGGCACAAAAGGAATAGGGCATGGTCGTTTCTATTGGCTCATCACAAAGCGGGCAAGATGGGTCCAAGTCGGCGATCCTCTTCACCACTGATAGAACCGAAAGGATATCCCATAATAACTGCCACCATAAAATTTTATGCCTTTGTTATATTCATTGTAATGACCGAGAAAATTGTAGAATTAAATAATGTAAATTTATTTATTTAAGTCAAGGTTTTTTTTCTGAGAATATCATGTCATATTTTGTGACTGAAGGATTTATGAAATTAATATAAGTATTCTTAAATTCTGTAGAAAATTTTATGATTAGTTCATATTTTTGAGCAAGTAAATTCAGTTAATAAATTCTTGCTGCAATTAAGGCGGAAGGATTCTCAGTACATGTACAATTTGAGAATTTTAATCTCAAGAATCTCTTAGTGCAGTATAATGTTAGCAGCGTATAAAGAAACGCTCTAAATGGGACTAAATGAGGTACCAGAATCTCTTCGGGGTACCCGCATCTGTTTTCACTCTGAGGTAAGTCCTAATTTTGAGGACGAAATTCCTTAAGGGGGGTAGAGTTATAACACCCCAAAGAATTAAATGAGGTAATTAAGATTTATTAGTGTACCTAATCTGGTTTAATTAATTGAGTATTGATTAATAAATGTTTCTGACGAGTAAATTTAAATAATTCCAAGGAATTTAAATATTCTCAGTATTTATATTTTTACCCAGAAGTGTGTATGGGCACATTTTTAGACTGTTATTTTAAACTTTGTGACACTTGTCCATTTTCTTTTCTTTTCTTTTCCCTTCCTTTCCTTTTCTTTCATTCCCGTGCATACACCATCTCTCTCTCACTCTCACTCTCACTCCCTCTCTTCCATTTTGTCTTAAATCAACTGGATTTCGAACCAAAGAGGAATTTCAAGAAGTTTTCGACGCCAAGAGAAGGATTCGAGGTAAGATTTCTGAAAAACTTCTCTTGAAACTTGGATTTTCATATTTAAAAACTTATTTTTGGTTCGAAGCGAATTTTGATGAATTTTAACTAAACACATGGTAGAAATTAGGGATCTCAGGTTCTTTGGACTTGATTTAGTACCTAGAATCGGGATTCAGGTGTTGTCCCTTGAGATATTTTGAATTGGGATTGGATTTGCAGGTTTTTGAACTAATTTTATGAGTTTTCTCACACTGATGTTCTTCATCGGTCGACCTGTGCGGTCAACTGGATTGCATTGGCCTCACCGGTCGACCTGTTTGGTTGACCGAATTGTACACCACCGGTCGATCGGTGGTGTTGCACTGCTCTATCACCGGTTGACCGGTGTACACTGGGTTTGACCCTGTTTTGCTTGAAAATGTTGTTTTGACCTCGGTTTTCGAGGAAAACCCAAATTAACTTCATTTGGGGACCTAAAGTGAATGGATTAGCATCTTTAATCCATGTTTTTTAGATTGAAAACCCTTGGAATGATGATTTGAAACATGAGTTGATTAATGAAACTTGAAAATTGATTGAGGCACACTAATAGGAAATCAAATGGTACGATTGAGATTGAATTGCTTTAGGAATGTGAATTGTATTGTGAAGCGTGATTTTTTATCAGTGCTAGCTGAGGACTCGGATTGAGAGGCTTGAGGAAGCGACAGCCAGAATAGAGTAACGCTAGCCAGGTTTAATACTTGCGAGGTAGGATTTCTTACCCCTTTCTTTGTGAGCCTATTTTCAAAGAGTTTTGGCCTTGCAAATGTTTTAAAGAAAGGACATGATTGTAAAAGAAAAGCATGTTTAAAACAATAGCTTGATTTTAGCTATTGGAATTATTATGAACTGTTTCATAAAGTTTAATGAATGATTTCTTAAGACAAGAGATCTTGTGAATCGGTAAACCGGTTGATGGAGAGTGCATCCTTGGGGACAGAACCCGAAACCCGGGCCGGGGGTGATTAGGCTTGTGCACTTGGTTGTGTAAGTAATTTATCATAGTATAAATTACTTGCTGATGCCTATAATACGGAGATTTTCAGTTATATTTCCTTTGAGAAAAAGGATGTGAGGTTCCGGCTGTTGTGTTGGAACTGAATGTCTTATTTATTTATTTACTTGCTTACCTATTTATTTATTTTAAAATATATCCTACTGGGCCTTTCGCTCACGTTTTATTATTTTATAAATGTTAACCCTTCCCAGGCGATTCTAGAAGCAGTGCGGAGTAGCTGAGTTGCTACCACCCAGAGTTGGTGAGGATTGTGTTCATCATCCTTGTGTACGAATGTAAGAATTTGCAAACTCTGATATTTAGATTTCTAAACTGTGGTTGATGTCTGTAATGTTATTTACACGTGTCATGTATGTACGATATTGAAGATCCAGTGGATAGATCCTGTAATTTATTTTTTGCACAATAGTGGGGGCTCGTTTGGGAATTTCCTTAATATTTTATTGTCAATCATTTTTAACCCCTAATCGAGCCTCCACGTCATCGACCCCTACCCCGGGGTGTGACAAAATGTCAACCAATCATTATCTAATAGTTATCTTATTTTGGTTCAGTTCAATATTCATCTGGTGCGCGTTTTACCTGCATTTTCTGGATAGTTAGTTTACTTGATCAACTTTATTCAACCTTAACTAATTTTGCAAGAGTACCATATTCGTAGACTCTTTGGTCAATAATAATTTTGACTTGGTCAACCATAATCGATCGAAAATCCCAATTTTCTCGGTTAGACCTTCCATACCTTTTTTTCATCCGTTCTTCATTCTGATTATTTCTAAAACCCTAGAAGTGATGTTTTTCAATTCTTTTTCATTTCTTAACCTTGATATTCATGTGTTGGCCCACTTGTGGGTTCAATGCAGCAGTCTGCACTTTTTTCCTTATCGCAGTCTGAAAATTAGTAAATGTATCATACCTCACTTAGATTCTTAATTGCTTACTTGATGTCATCCTGCTTACATAAGCAAGGTTTAGTGAACACTTGGTAGACATCCATTGGTGTTCTAATCTTATAGTTATCCTCATTACTTCACACTGGCTATTGTGAATTAACTTAGTTGACAAGAAATTTCAGTTTCTGATTGTGTCAACTCTTAAACTCATATTACATCTGAATTTCTTTACTAAAACATTACCCTTATAATTTCCTCTCATCTGTTTGGAAATTAAGGGGTTTCTCTTTAAATTTTAGAGCGTTTCTCTATACGCTGCTAACATTATACTGCACTAAGATATTCCTGAAATTAAAATTCTCAAATTGTACATGCACTGAGAATCCTTTCACCTTAATTGCAACAAGAATTTATTAACTGAATTTACTTGCTAAAAAATATGAACTAATCATAAAATTTATTACATAATTTTAGAATACTTATATTAATTCCATAAATCCTTCAGTCACAAAATATAACATGATATGCTCATAAAAAAGTCTTGACTTAAATAAATAAATTTACATTATTTAATTCTATAATTTTTTCGGTCATTACAGCGAATCTAACAAAGGCATAAAATTTTATGGTGGCAGTTATTATGGGATATCCTTTCGGTTCGATCAGTGGTGAAGAGGATCACCGACTTGGACCCATCTTGCCCGCTTTGTGATGTGCCAATAGAAACGGCCATGCCCCTTTTCCTTTTGTGCCCTTTTACCAAACAGTTGTGGTTCTCTTGCCTATGGGGAATCCGCCCGAACTTCTTCAAGTCTCATCTATGATAGACTTTCTTGCCTTCTGCGTAGAGGATAAGGTGTAGGATGTCCATAAGGAAGAATTCATGATCTTTGCATCCATTCTAATTGATCATATTTTGTTGGTGTGTAACATAGTGATCATATTTTATTGGTGCAGTGGCAGCCCTTCTTAGTCCACACTCAGCTAAGGATACGCCATCTAAGTGGAGGCCATCTCCTCTAGGGTGGACCTTACTGAAGATCGATGCAGCATTAAGCAGAGATGTTAGAGTTATCGAAGTCTTAGCACAAAACTCTTCTAGTGAAATCCAATGATGCTGGTCAACAAAGGTCAACACCACAAACTCAGAAACTCTCGATTTTCTGGCCCTTCGCGAGGCCCTCTTGAAAGTTAAAGAGAGCAACCTTGAGCACTTCATAGTGGAAACTGATTGCAAGGCAGTGGCAGAGTGCAAGTCGACAGAAAGTGTTCATTGGCGCGCTGGCTCTATACTGGAGGATATTCGGTTGACAAGCCTGCTCAATGAGGAGATCACAATCAATTAGATTATTAAGACTATAAATTATGCAACTCATTATCAAACTCACTCGAGTCTGTCTTTTTCTGTTTATGATTTTTCAATCTTTTATACTAGGTAATCTAGTATCCTTATGCATGAAGATAATAAATTCGGTCGTTGTGGTTGGACTCTATTATGGATTTCTGACCACATTCTCCATAGGGCCCTCTTATCTCTTCCTTCTCCGAGCTCGTGTTATGGAAGAAGGAGAAGAAGGAACCGAGAAGAAAGTATCAGCAACAACCGGTTTTATTACGGGACAGCTCATGATGTTCATATCGATCTATTATGCGCCTCTGCATCTAGCATTGGGTAGACCTCATACAATAACTGTCCTAGCTCTACCGTATCTTTTGTTTCATTTCTTCTGGAACAATCACAAACACTTTATTGATTATGGATCTACTAACAGAAATTCAATGCGTAATCTTAGCATTCAATGTGTATTCCTGAATAATCTCATTTTTCAATTATTCAACCATTTCATTTTACCAAGTTCAATGTTAGTCAGATTAGTCAACATTTATATGTTTCGATGCAACAACAAGATGTTATTTGTAACAAGTAGTTTTGTTGGTTGGTTAATTGGTCACATTTTATTCATGAAATGGGTTGGATTGGTATTAGTCTGGATACAGCAAAACAATTCTATTAGATCTAATAAGTACCTTATGTCAGAATTGAGAAATTTTATGGTTCGAATCTTTAGTATTCTATTATTTATTACCTGTGTCTACTATTTAGGCAGAATACCGTCACCCATTCTTACTAAGAAACTGAAAGAAACGGAAGAAAGGGGGGAAAGTGAGGAAGAAAGAGATGTAGAAAAAACTTCAGAAACGAAGGGGACTAAACAGGAACAAGAGGGATCCACCGAAGAAGATCCTTCTCCTTCCCTTTTTTCGGAAGAAAAGGAGGATCCGGAAAAAATCGATTTTAAAGAGACACGATATAAAAATAAACCCGTTTATGAAACTTATTATCTGGATGTGGATCGGAATCAAGAAAATTCGAAGTTAGAAATATTTAAAGAAAAAAAAGAACTCCTCTGGAGTAAATTAATAAAAAGATTAATACATAAGATATATACACTAAAAGATAGGAAGAGATTCGACCGACACCTACATATTTAATACCTTCTCCTACGAAAAAACTCGAAATACCGACCCCATTCGTAATTCCATCAATTACTTGTCTATCAAAAAAATGAATTAGTTCAGACAATATTCTTATACCTTGAATTAAAAATGTTGCATAAAAAAAATCAATATAACCCCGATTATACGACCAATCATATGTCACATTTATTATTTTATCCTCAAAAATTTTCAGTTTCTTAGAAATACCTTTAACAAATGAATTAAATAAATTCAAATTTTGTAAAGATGAATAACCAGGATTATATAAAAAGGATGCTATAAGGATTCCGAAAGAAGCTATACTGACTGAAAAAGTTGCATTTGTTATAAACTCATACCAATCCCAATCCATCAAATTTTTTTTATTTTGATATAAAAGGTTTATAGACGGAGTTAATAATTTTGTTAATATATCCAACTGAATTCCTTCTTGATTGAATTGATTGAAGAAAGGAATTCCTATAACTCCAATGAACAAAGTAAATAGACCTAATACAAGCATAGAAAATAGCATAGTATTTTCCGACTCATGAGGATACGAGAAACTGTTCTTAGTACCGAAATTAGGATTAGGAATAGTAATAATAGGCCCCCTCAAATTTCTTACATTAGAGCTTCGATCTAACGCTCGATGGGCCCCGTTAGGACACAAAGTTTTCGCCGAAAACGTGGCAGCCGTCGATCGCGAAGTGAGGGTCGAACTAACGGCCGGAG